CTGCCCCCATGACTCAAATACCTCTCACTAGGTCCCATGTTTGACATTGGGGATCACATTTCAACATGAGATTTGGAGGGTGAAATAGCTGAACTTTGCATATGTGTAGTACAATTTCAGTTTTAGAAAAAGACTGGGTGGAAGGTGTCTAAATGTTATATTTTAGTTTATCTTAATATAGATGATTTTTGTTTTCCTTATAATTTTCTAATTTTCTAAGTGTTTTGTTCATAGACATATTCACACTATATATACTGAAAATTTTAATAACCAAACGTTTCAGGGAAAGTGACTTCTGTTTTCCACTAATTTCAGCAAAAAGAGTGAATGACTTGATAATTGTTCTACTTTTTTTAATTAGAAAAATTTCCTGCCATTGAGAGCTTCAAAGCACTGCTGAAAGTTTCACGGCAAATTCAATGGAAAGCATGGATTGAATTTGATTTTAAATTGATAAATTTAAAATTCTTATGTGTTCTGAAGAGTTTTTCATGTCTCATCCACTATCACTTTTTTCATTACCATACTGAAAGCTGAGGGTATGGAACTCAGAATGCATTTGGAAGAATAACAGGTGATATGAATTTTTGGTCCTATCTGATTTCTGGGAATAGAAAAACCCAGGATCAAAGCTATCTTTGTCTGGTTCTATTCCTATATAAATTAAATTATAAAGATCGTTCCAGTTTTACATCTTATAAATATGAATGCCTTGAGTCTATTTTGCATTAGCATCTAACAAATATACACAAATTTCTAAGAAGTAATTTGCTTGTCTCATCCCCTCCCTTTCATGTCTCTTCAGAGCCGCCTTGGCAATATGATCATCCTAAACACCTATCTAAAACACATATCTTACTGTACTGCTTCCCTGTTTAATCATACTTCCATCACCTTAAAGGTAAAATACAAATGTTATAACATGGCAATCAGGAGTCTTCCTGATGTGGCCTCATCTTATTCCTCAAGTTTTATACAAAAGAGTTTCCTATAAATATTCTATTTTAAAATAAAATATTCTTATAGCCTATCCTTGAAGATGGCGTGTTCTTTCTTATTCCTGTGCCTTTGCTTATGATGTTTCCTTTGCCAACTGTGACTTTCCCCGCCTTCCTCACTGGACAGCTTCTGTTAACTGAAGGTTAATGAGTCTTACCTTTTTTAGGAAGACTTTTCTGCAGCACCTAGCCTTGCCAGGAACATAGTCCTTATCGCACTGATGCATGCAAAGGAGTATACAGACTTATTTTCCTCTCACTAGTAACTAAACAACTGGGCATTGAATAGCTGTTCAGTGAATATTGTGTTAATGAACAAAATTACTTTTCTAATGTTATTTTCCTTAAGAGTGTAGGGGTATAGGTATGACTATTTGTATGTCATTTCTTTAGTGAGATGACTAGAATACATAGGAAGTGATTGCTCCGGGCTATTTAGGACAATCATCCTAATATCACTTTCTTTGTATGTTTTGCTTAGAACATTGGGGTGAAAACATTTGAGAAGGTGTCTTAAAGGCATACTAAGGCGTATGTACTTTGTCCATTGGTGATGTGGCCAAATTACTTGTTAGAGAAATTACGACTGGCTAGGAATGGATAGGTGGGGAGTGTAAACTGGGAGAGAAAACAAACTGGAGATTGTTGTATTAAGTAGACTTGAATTTATTTAACTGCATGTAGGTGGTAAGGGAAAAAAGAAGGATTAATAATGCCAGATTTCAGGTGTGAGCAATCAGTGGGGATTGTACTACTTACTTAATGTCACAAGACAAAAAAGAAAAATATAGAAAAGAAAATCAGGGCCAAGATCTGATTTTATATATTTTGAATTTAGGAGCCTATAGAGGATAAGAAATAAATATCCAGGAAAACTCTTAAAACATTTTGCAAATTAGATTAAATACTGTTAAATTCTTGGGCCTAGGTAAAAAAAGAGAATAATGATTTTGAAAATATTTTAAGATCATGATAATGATGGTCCACATTTCACATGATGACAAGTAGAAATACAATTTGGCCTGACTTGTTTGTTTTGCTTGGTTTATTACATATAGAATATTTAAAGATTTACCTGTTACATTAACAAATTGAAGCATTTTGTCATATTGCAGCATTAATAATGTTTTTCTTAAATGGTACTGTTGGGGATAAAGGAAGTTTTAGTAAAGAAATAGTTGGTTTCATTTAATTTCATATACATCTTCAAGTTGTGTGAAAATGTGTAATAAATGGTGGCAAAACAGTATCAAATTGAGCATATTATGTTCATACTAAAATTTTAAGAAGCATTTGAATTGGAAATCAGGGTTTTATATTTTAAAGTAAAATATGTTCAAAAGAGCAGCCCCTAAGCCAATCTGAGTTTTGCAAGAATATTCAAAGTGCTCTTTCTATGAAAAATCTAATCTTATCAGACGTAGAATAATAGATCCCATTTGGAAAATATGTCATTTCCTGCAAGAAGAAAGACAGAAGTAGGCATAAGTTAGTTCTTATTTTTTGATGTGTGTATTTTTGTGCTCTTCTTTATTCTGTCACATTGCATAAAATATTCTAGTTTGAAAAGTATTTCCTCAGTGTGACTGGGTTTCAGTGAATTTAAGATAAAAATAAAGGCTATGGGGATGTTAAATTGAATTGACCATTTCAAGGAAAAGATTTTCTTTTATTAAATTTTGGAATTAAATCTACTGAAGAGTTTTATTAACAATTATTTATCTTGATTAAATTGAATTGACTATTTTAAGAAAAATATTTTCTATAAAATTTGGGAATGAAATGTATTGAAGAGTTTTGATAAGTTATTTATCTCAAATTATTTCTCTCTAATTTCTGTTCATAAGATCAATAGTTGTCAAAATAAAAATGGAAAAACTATAAGATTTTTTTCATCCTAAAAGATAAATAATTTTGTTCTTCCTTTTCTCTCCTCTCATCTAAGACCAACAAACAAGAAAAACATGATCTGATAAACGACTGTGGAAATCATGATATGGTTTTATAGTTTACCTTTTAGCTATGTGTCATGCTTGAAATTTCCTGTCCAGGATAAACACATCTATTTTTAGAGCTGGAAGTATGTGATGATACAACCTTTACATTTTACAGCAAGGTGAAGTGAATTGTGTAATTAATACATGCTAAGATCCAGTCAGTTCTAAGAAAATAACATATGATTTAATAAATAATGGTCTTACTGAGTTAAGCAAACATTGTTTTTCACTAAAATTATAAAATATCAATATATGACCTTAAAATATACTGTGCTAATATTTTAATTCAAAATTTAAAATTGTTGCTTTTTGTTGTAGATGCTGTAGATGATCAGCCTATAACCTCTCTTTTAGTGCTATAGTTCAACCTGGCAAAATTTCTAATGCTTATCCTGCATTTCTTTACCTAAGGGATTCTTTGGCCACAAGAGACCACTTTGTTAACCAAACAGACTGAAAGTTCTAGGGAATCAATGCCCCTGGGAGCAACCCTCAGCTAATGACTAATGAGAATTGGTATATAAATATGCTAGCTCTCATTCTTACAGTGAGATATAGCTGAGGGGTGTATTACACACTGGATGTCTGATTTTCCCCAGCCAGATTAAGCTGCAGTTGCCAATAGTGTTACAGGTCTTATAATGATCTCTGTGTTGGTAAGAAGTCTTCCATTCCGGGTCTCACTTCTTTCTTTTCAACCCTGCTAATATTTCCTGGGATTATCTCCCAAATAAACTTCTCACATTGAAGTTATTATTACCTCAGTGTTTGCCTCCAGGACAACCTAAACTGAGATCCTTTATTTCTCTCTAAAGTCATGTTAGAAAATGAAAAAGAAGCTGGGTGTGGTGGTTCACACCTATAATCCACCCAGCACTTTGGGAGTCCAAGGTGGGCAGATCACCTGAGGTCAGGAGTTCGAGACCAGACTGACCAACATGGCAAAACCCCCCTCTACTAAAAATACAAAAATTAGCTGGGCGTGATGCCATACAATTGTAGTCCCAGCTACTCAGGAGACTGAAGCAGAAGAAAACAAATAGAGCGAACAAATAGGTCAATAGACTTCTAATGAATATGTGGCTAAGATGGAAAAAGATGGCTTTCAAAGTATTCAGATGGCTTAGATTGAAACAAAGAGGAAGGGATAAAATAATATGTGAGATCTGTCTATTTAAGAAAGTAAAAAGTGCACATATGGCATCATCAATGTCTGTATCAAGGGGTTTGTATCAAAGTTATGATGAGAAGCAGGGCACACGACTTAGATATGTTTCTCCATTTTTCCCCTTCCTTCAAAAAGGTCAGGTCTTTTTAGTGTTTTGGCAAAAGATACTACGCTGTGAATTCTTCTGGTACTATTTGAACTTATGTCAGAGGTACATTCGAAATCATATAATTAAAGGAAGACATAGTTTGTGCTGTTGTGTCTACCCAGAAAGAATTTTTGTTTTGTTTGTTGGAATAAAAATATAAAAGTCTTAACCAATTAACATATCTCTTCTAGTTATAGCATGATTATGAATAGAAGGATAAGCTATCTGAATGCCTTGCCATAACAGTCAAAGTAGAATGAAAATGAAAATAAATCAGTGCCTTCTAAAATTCAGTTTCACCTTCGTAATCATCATTAACAGGGTATGAGATTGGTTAGTCCAAATAAATAGTATGTGAAAGAGATAGTTGGGGCACCTTGTTGTTCAAGGGGGAATGGCATATATTATTAAAGAACTATCACCAAGCTTTAATAGTAACATATCTATGAGTTAAAACATTTAACACATCATCTACAAATCTTGCTATTTTTCATTACCTAGGTATCAGTAACAATCTTTTCCAAATATTTACATATTTTATCATTATTTTCCTATTATTTGGTAATTGTCTTGAACATTTTCAAGAAACATAATTAGAATTTTAAAAGATATGCTGAACTTCTAAATTTAAAATAAACAGAAATGTAATTATTGATTAATTCTAAGTCCAATTATATTTTTCTTTTTAGTTATTTATGATTCCATTTGATATACATAGGAGAGAAAGTGATAGAAGAATTCTGATGGCGACTGTATGATAGAAGCTATATAAAGTCAAGTGTCCATTTTCTTTCAACTATATTTGAGCATACCCAGGTAAGAATAAATGATTGTTTATACATTTTCCATTATTTCCAAAAAGGACTTGAAATTATAAAAATGCTATTATTATGTGCTGAATGTTTAAAAATATAGTCTTACATTGTAAAAAATAGTAAAATGCATAAAAATAAAATAAAATTAAAAGCACTGATGAGCCTTTTTTCTGAAAATAACCTCTGTCATCATTTTGTTCTATATAATTTTATTTTTGTTTTGTTGGATTTTTCTTTTAAGCAAAATTACAATGATAGTATTATATTTAGTTCATTTTCATGTGGCTGATAAAGACATACTCATGACTGGGAGATTTACAAGAGAAAGATGTTTAATGGACTTACAGTTCTATGTGACTGGGGAGGTCTCATAATCATGGAGGAAGGTGAAAGGCACGTCTCACACAGCAGCAGACAAGAGAAGAGAGCTTGTGCAGGCAAACGCCCATTTTTAAAACCATCAGATTTTGTGAGACCCACTCACTATCATGAGAACAGCACAGGAAAGACTTGCTCCCATGATTCAATCACTACCCAACAGGTTCCTGCCACAACATGTGGGAATTGTGGGAGGTACAAATCAAGATAAGATTTGGGTGGGGACACAGCCAAACCCTTATCATTCCATCCCTGGCCCCCTCAGATCTCATGTCCTCACATTTCAAAACCAAACATGCCTTCCCAACAATCCCCCGAAGTCTTAACTCATTTCAGCATCAGGTCTAAAGTCCACAATCCAAAGTCTCATTAGAGACAAGGCAAGTCCCTTCTGCCTATGAGCCTGTAAAATCAAAAGCAAGTTAGTTACTTCCTAGATAAAATAGGGTACAGGCATTGGGTAAATATAGCCATTCCAAATGGAAGAAATTGGTCAATGCAAAGGGGCTACAGGTCCCATGCTGGTCCAAAATCCAGTGGGGCAGTCAAATCTTAAAGCTCCAAAATGATCTCCTTCGATGCCATGACTCACATCCAGATCATGCTGATGTAAGAGGTGAGTTCCCATGGTCTTGGGCAGCTCTGCCCCTGTGGCTTTGCAGGGTATAGCATCCCTCCTGACTGCTTTCATGGGCTGGCATTGAGTGTCTGAGTCTTTTCCAGGTGCAGGGTGCAAGTCGTTGGTGGATCTACCATTCTCGGGTCTGGAGGATGGTGGCCCTCTTCTCACAACTCCACTAGGTGATGCCCCAGTAGGGACTCTGTGTGGGGGCTCTGACCCCACATTTCCCTTCCACACTGCCCTAGGAGAGATTCTCTATGAGGACCCTACCCCTGTAGCAAACCTCTGCCTGGACATCCAGGCATTTCCATACATATTCTGAAATCTAGGCGGAGGTTCCCAAACTTCAGTTCTTGACTTCTGGGCATCCGCAGGCTCAATACCATGTGGAAGCTGCCAAGACTTGGGGCTTGCACCCTCTGAAGCAACAGCCAAGCCATACCTTGGCCACTTTTAGTCGTGGCTGGAGCACCTGAGATGCAGGCCATCAAGTCCCTAGACTTCATAAAGCAGAGAGACCCTGGCCTAGCCCAGGAAATCATGTTATCCTCTTAAACCTCTGGGGTTGCCATGAAGCCCTCTGACATGCCCTGGAGACATTTTCTGCATTGTCTTGATGATTAACATTTGGCTCCTTGTTACTTATGCAAATTTCTGCAACTAGCTTGAATTTCTCCTCAGAAAATGGGATTTTCTTTTCTATTGCATTGGCAGGCTGCAAATTTTCTGAACTTTTATGCTCTGCTTCCCTTATAAAACTGAATGTCTTTAATAGCACCCAAGTCACCTCTTGAATGCTTTGCTGCTTAGACATTTCTTCCTCCAGATACTCGAAATCATCTCTCTCAAGTTCAAAGTTACACAAATCTCTAGGGCAGGAGCAAAATGCCGCCAGTCTCTTTTCTAAAACATAACAAGAGTCACCTTGGCTCCAGTTCCCAACAAGTTCCTCATCTCTATCTGAGACAACCTCAGCCTGGATGTCATTGTCCATATCATTATCAGCATTTTGGTCAAAACCACTCAACAAGTCTTTAGGGAGTTCCAAACTTTTCCACCTTCTCCAGTGTTCTTCTGAGCCTTCCAAACTATTCCAGCCTCTGCCTGTTACCCAGTTCCAAAGTTGCTTCTACATCTTTAGGTATCTTTTCAGCAGCATCCAACTCCTGATACCAATTTACTGTATTAGTCTGTTTTCACACTGCTGATGGCAACATACCCAAGACTGGGCAATTTACAAAAGAAAGCAGTTAAAGGGACTTACAGTTCCATGTGACTGGGGAGACCTCACAACCATGGAGGAAGGTGAAAAGCACATCTCACACAGCAACAGACAAGAAAAGAGGGCTTGTGTAGGAGAACTCCCATTTTTAAAATCATCAGATCTCGTGAGTCCCACTCACTATCACGAGAACAGCATAGGAAATACCTACCTCCATGATTCAATCACCTTCCACAAGGTTTCTCCCATGACTTGTGGGAATTGTGGAATTACAATTCAAGGTGAGATTTGGGTGGGGACACAGCCAAACCATACCAATTGTATATATACTTTGTTGATTTTCTTTATTATTTTGTAACAAATTTGTTTTCTTCTATCCTTTGAGAATATGAATTAGTGTTTTGTATTTTCTGTTATATCTGTAAATATATACTATGTCTTAAAATATTTTTATTTTGTATTTATTATTCAGTCAATATTCTTATAGATAAATTGATATGTACATCATTTGGTTTGCATTAGTAGCATTACTAAAATTGGTATCACTGGCTCAATGACTGTGATCTTTTAAAGGCTTTTTATTGATATTGCTGAGTTTACCTGTAGAAGGTGGTAACAAGTTAAAGTTTTCATTAGGCAGTTTAAGTTGGAAAAAAAAAAGAAAATTAAGTTAAAATTTTTAATTTTGGTTGCAAACAGTAGCAATTTCTTACTCACATCTATTCAGCAAATATATTCCCTTACATAACTAAGCCTAGAGGAAAAGTGAATGTTATAAGGCTGGGTGCGGTGGCTTATGCCTGTATTCCTGCACTTTGGGAAGCCAAGTCAGTGGATTACCTGAGGTCAGGAGTTCAAGACCAGCCTGGCCAACATGGTGAAACCCGCCTCTACTAAAAATACAAAAATTATCTGGGTGCGGTGGCAAGTGCCTGTAATCCCAGCTACTTGAGAGGCTGAGGAAGGAGATTCCCTTGAACCCGGGAAGCAGAGGTTGCAGTGAGCTGAAGTTGCAGTGAGCCGAGGTTGCACCACTGCACTCCAGCCTGGGCACCAAGAGTGAGACTTCATCTCAAAAAAAAAATAAAGAAAAAGTGAATATTATATATGTATAACCTTCCACGTTGTTTAAAAATGCACCATTTAGAAATAATACCAAGTATACATTTATCTAATTAATATTTATTGAAAACTTATTATATTTATCAAGCACTGTGATTAGCAATGGCAGTGAAGATGGTAAACATTAGAAAAGGGAGGGCACATAAATAGTTCCTTGTCACCTCTAACTTTCAATAAAATATGGTCAGATGAGAAATACATTTTGGTTTCTTATGTTTAAGTAGGCCATATTAAGTGCCCAGAAAGAAGTAAAATAATAGGGCAGTTTGTAATGATAACACTTACAGCTTGGGAATTGAGGAATACTTCCACAAACAAAAGACCACTTGAGTTGTGCTTTTTAAGGTGGAGAGGAACACGGCAGGCAAACATTTAAATAGAGAGTCAACTTGGAGCAAAGGTACTGGGCTGGCAAACCATAGGGATGGGATATTCAGGAAACTGGAAAGAGAGATTAGATATAGCAGAGTAGGTGGAAATGTGTTCTGTGATTTGGATTCTTATAATTAGGCATTTTTGTCTCATCATTATATGGAGAGGAACAATTGCAGGGGAATCAGATGAACCATGCTATCCTTTAAGAAGTTTAACTAGACCAACCACATTGGTTCATGCCTCAAATTCCAGCACTTTGGGAGACTGAGGCAGGTGGATCTCTTAAGGCCAGGAGTTCAAGACCATCCTGGAAAACATAGTGAGACCCCATCTCTACAAAAAAAATAATAAAAAAGTAGAAAAACTTAGCCAGACATGATGGTGCACACTTGTAGTTCCAGCTCCTTGAGAGACTGACGTGGGAGGATCACTTGAGCCCAGGAGGTAAAGGTTGCAGAGAGACATGATCACACCACTGCCCTCCAGCCTGGGTGACAGAGCAAAACTCTGTCTCAAAAAATCTAAAAAAACAAAAAAGTTTAATTTAAAAGTGATATGTGTGTTAGACGAATGAAGAGAGAGCAGCTTAAAGGAAGGCAGATTAGTTTGCAGGCTTTTCCTTACATTTTGATCACCATTTGCTGAACCCTTGCTACTTGCCAGGCACTAAGCTAGGAACTGTAGGAAAATAAAACAATGAAGACATAATCTTTACCCATGAGTTTATAATGTAGCGGATGTACCTGCATGACAAGCAAATGAATAGAATACCCCATGAAAGCACAAGAGAATCATGTTTAACTAAAGACTAGTGAGTAATAATTATGTTGGCATGCAGATATTGAGTTACCAGTAGACTAGGTTTCCCCCAAAACGTTAAGTCTGATCAAGATTACCCAGGAAGCAGTGTTTCTAAATTTTTAAATAATTCGAGAAGAAACAATAGAAGCTTTGTCTAGGGTGAAAAAAAATGTAAATAAAAAACAAGGTGTGGTTAGATGAGACTTGGTAGTGGTGGAAGCAGTTAAGCGGGGGTTAAAGAAACAGCCTTTTTGCTTAGGCAAGAGGGGCATGTTGATGACAGGCACAGAAATGGGGAAAACAGAGTAAAAGTGGGTTTTGTTATTGTTGGTTAAATTTGTTTGGCTTTGAACACTGAAGAATTTTCTCTCCTGCTTCACTTTCCTGTGTTCAAACCTTTGCTAGAGTACTCATAACATTTTAAAATTTCATTGCAATTCCTTATTGAGAATTGAGGAATATTATTGAGGATTAGTTAAGGATT